TATATATGCGCTAACATATGTATTCCATTTTCTTTATTAATTCATCCATTGATAGACATAGATTGACACTTGGCTATTGTGAATAATGCAGCAATAAAAATGAGAGTGCAGCTATCTCCTCAAAATACTCAACTCTAGTCCTTTGGATACATACTCACACATGGGATTATGGGACACAATTACTTTAAGGGCCTGCTACAGCCTTGTCTTAGGTCCAGAACACAGTACAGGAGACTAGAGTCTGCTAGCAGCCCATTGTCTTACAGCTCCCAGTGACCTCAGGCAGAAGCTTCAGTCTTGGTATGAGACAGTCTTCTTCCACCTTGCACTGTGGATTCCATGAGGATCACAGTAGACTGTTCTTCTATACTATTAATTCCAGGTAGAGTTTGTATACTGGCTCATTTACTGCCTTATTCATACAGGACAAGGAAGGCAGGACATGTCCACAGAGCTCTAGGCCAGAGCCTTCACCTAGCCAGGGCCATCTCAGGTCTCATACAGGCAAGTCTTGCTCCTAACTCATAGATCACTCAGCAGCCTGATTCCCTTCAACCTCTCCGTTTTTGCTCAGTGTACATCACATTCTCTGAATTACAACTCCATGATTGATTATGCAAGCTATAAAAACCATTCAAATGAGAGAGACCACATCTAGAACAGGACTAGGAAGTACCATTCTTCCATCAACCAAAACATCACTTCTTTTTGGGCAAGTACTGCATGCTAGGCAGTAGACACACAGAAAAGCAACCTGTTGTGCAGCTTATGTGGTTTATCTGATTTTCCTGTCACTTTGCTTGGGTGAGCTTCTTGGCTTGGATTTGGGTTTGAAATCCACAAGTATTGAAGTAGTCTAGTTCTGAAGATAGTTTTTATTTGGAGGGTACATGCCACAAATGAATGTTACATGCCACAGTTTTCAAGTGCATTATCAGAGCAGACCTGACAGTGTTGGGTGTCTACAACAAACTAGCCAGAGCTCAGAAATGCTCCTTCCTTGAAGGCAGGTGGGAGATGAGGAGGAGGACACACGACATGAGCAGGCCTGGCTTGATTTGACTTCTCTTCCTTGGTACACAAACTCAGATATGAAAACATGGGACACTTTGTTGGGTCCAATTCTAACCCTGGGCTGGTCTAAAATTTAATCCTGGATGTTACTGAATCCTGCCCACATCCAACATTGAGCAAAATTAGGGTAGTTGGCATGGACCTGAACAACTCCTAGTCTTCAAGGTATTCTGCTCAGTCTGGCTGGACACAGCTCTTCAGAGGTCTTAGCCAATCTGGCTCTGCTGCAGAGGGAAGTGTGGGTTTCAGTCATGAGTCAACATTTCTTGCTTCCTGATAGTCACACCCTTAAAAGGTGGGCAAATTAACTCTCTGTAATCATGGCCCTCAAAGAACTGTCCCTTTATCCCTTGGCCTTGAAGAACTTCTATGGCATAATCTCTTGAGTATTTAAACAATGAAGGAAGATCCTCTGTCAGCACACAGTTCTGGTTCTGACCCTGAAAACAAACTCATGGGGCACAAACATAAGAAGAACTTGGTTTTCTGTATAGAACAAAATGACAAAAAAAATTTTTAAAAACATATATGTACTTCAAGAGTATAAAAAAAACACATAATTTTCAGCTTAGTTACTGTATTTACTTATAGGAATAGCTTTTGTGGATAAAATGTATGAACATAGTAAGTGTCACTGGTCTCTTTTAATTAATCAAAGGATAAAAAGCTAATCTAAACTAACATTACAGAAGCAGCAAGCACCACAAGCCAGGACAGGGCCCAGACTTCCCAATATCTGATTCAGCTCCCTTTCAGGCCAAGGACAGGGCCTCCCTCAAATCCTCCTCAGGACCAAAGGCCTTCAGGGTCATCTGACACCCATCCTATGCTAAGCTGTCAGCCTTCCAGCCAAAAGGCTTTTCTAATTCTTTCCAGTAAACCCCCTGGAAAGAAACTTCCCAGGCTCACCACTAACCTGCTCTCTGCCAGCCCTCTCCAAAGCATCTGCCTTTGGGGTGGAGTATTGGGAAGTTCTCAGCTCCCACTTCCTGCAACTGTAGGCAATTTTGGTGAATTATGTAATGTCTTCTCTAACCTACAGGCCAATATTCTTCTCTAACTCTTAGAGAAAATGTATCCCAACCCACATGATCTGGAAAACTGTGCTTTACTGACTCTCTGACCTCAGCCTTGACCTTATTCAGACCTCTAACTGGACCCAATATGATGAAATGTATGGCACAATCTGTACCTGGTGCCTACCTTCTGAGATGCATGAGTTTACTTAGGCACTTCTGTCTACCACACCTAAATACTTGCAACCCAAACCAGTAACATTAGGATGTTATTTCCAGAAGCCAACACAATATATAATCTGGACCAGAAACAAAGCCACCCAGCTTAGATAGCCAGACAAACCCTGAGTTAGATGAGTGAGGAACATAACCACCAATAGCATAGCAAATACATAATAGGCACTTGCAGGAATACAACTTATGAAATAAAAAGTAAAAAGAAAAAAGACATTAAATGCAATTTACTTTTAACTTTCCTTCATAGCCAATGAGCCAAGGGTTCTCTCTTATGAAACAGTGAAAGTAGAGAAGAGGGAAAGCACTCAAGAAAGAAGCCCCAGGGAAGGGACCACACAAAGAAAGGAAAGGCTTGAGTAAATTGATTAAAGAAAACTCACCTAATCCAAGATATGAGTGACTTGGAAAACAAAGGTTTTCAAAGACACTCCTTGAAATACAGGCTATTTTCCCTATAACTCATCCCTTCAGCCACCTGTGACTTAAGAGGCACCTTAGATTTCCAGGGGCCCAAGCATCTCTTGGATTTTGTGACTCAAGAAATTGTCTGAAATTATAGGATTTTGCTACAGCCAAGAACAGGCTTAGCCCTGAGAGGAAGAAGAGTTCACGGATCCAGAGACAACATTGAACTAGGTGGGATGGGAATCAGCACAGGAATGATCTAGGCTCCTGAAATACAGAAAGTCAGAGCAAACACTCACTCCATGTGAAACCTCAAAGAGTCCCAAGCAAGACAAAGCTGCAATTGCCCACAGTAATAAACAGCCATGTGATTCATTCTCGGTTTCCTCCTATTCTTTTCCCATCTCACTCTTCCTTCTCTCTTAGTCCAGTCTCTTCAAACACATTCAAATAAATTAGCTTGAACTAAAGTCTTCTCTCAGGGATTCTTTTTTGAATGGAAAATTACATCTAAAACATACGTGGATTACATTGAACTGTGTCTTCCGAAAATTTGGTATACTGATGGTAAAATAAGAAATTATTTTGCTATCAGATGTACTTGGATAAGTTCAAATTCCTACGGCACATCCAAGCAAACTTCACCAACATATTTACCATCTTGTGCTCCAAGCATAGATTTTCAGTCCACTCCAGACAATTATCAGCTTTTCATGGGCTGCATCCATGTGCCTTTCATCCTTGGATCTAGCCTGTTAAATAATTGCTCACAATCTTATCAGAATAAAAACAGGCCCCAGAGCTAGGAGAAGGGGCCATTCTTGGTGCAGTTCAGACACTGGGGAGTTTCTGGGTCTCTGCCCTTCTACTACCTTTAGCCACAGCCTCAACACCCTCCACCTCTTGGGTTTTATTCTTGCTGTGCCTTGTGACTGAGCCACAGAGATGTTAGTGGTGACAGTGTCATTTTCACCTAAACCAATCCAGAGAATGTCCACAAGCCTGGCTAGAATGATGACACCCATATAAACCAGAGGAGCGCAGGTCTAAACATGAGTGAGGTCACGGAGCTTGTGCCCAGTTCGTCCCGCTGTAGGAGCTCTTTCTTCTTTGACCTGGGCAGCCTTCCTGGGAAAATGCCACCACTCCTACTCCTGCTGACCTTTCTTCTGCCCCCTGAGGCTGGGACAGGTGAGTGACTATCCCTGTTCCACAGACCTGAGCCCAAAAATCCTCTCTGCTACTGACTTTTCTGCCAGCTTTGGTCAAGATTTATCCTCAATTTGGCCTGGAGTTTTCTGACCCCCAGCTCCCATCCCAAACCAGGACTTACAAATCCAAAGCTGGCTAGACACTCTCAAATATGGCAGAAGGAGGGTGTCCCTATATGATTTAGTAGGTGTTAGCCTCTCCACAGAAGTTTCTTTATAATCCAGAAAGTGAGTTGTCCTTAAAAATACATTTGGCAGGGAATGTGAAGCTACAAAAAGGTTGTAATTAAACTCTATCACTCAAAACGAGAAAAGCAGAGCTCAGACCAACAGGCTGCAGAGGAGGGGTTGTCACTGGACCCAGCTTAAGAGCCAATTGCATTATTCAGTGCCTTCTACCCTTCACCCCAGCCCAGGAGAGAAGCCCACAGTGCAGTAGTTCTCAGAAGTGGCAAAGTGACTGATCCAATTTTCTATTGTTGTGGCTCCACCCTAGGCAGGTTCATTTTAATAGTCGCCACTACTTGTGCCTTGCCAAGACTTCCCAGTTGCTCCCTGTCTTGGGTACCATCCTCCTCCAAAATTTCTATGGCCCTGAATCCCACCAGCACTGCCCCACCAAGGACTGGTTAGAAGCTGATTGGAGACCAGTCATTCATGCAGCTAAAAACATTTACTGAGAACCCAGATCGTGTTAGGCCTAGAACATCAGGATTTGGGAAAACCAAACTTCATAAACTTCATGAATGCATAGGTAGATTATTAGAAAGGGCTGCAAGTCAAGAAATTAGCAGTAGCTCAAAGAGGGTAGAAAGACTCAGGAAGAAAGGAGGAACCAAGGCACTCTGCCCAGTGTCTTCTGGAACTCTCCCATCATGCAGCAGACCTTATCTCCTCCACACAGGTGTCTAAAGTAGGTGGTAGAAGACAAGCACTGTCCTTCCTTTCTCATAACAGAGATATAAAACTTGAGGATCAGCAAAGGTTATTCTGCCTGCAAGGAGTGCAGCCTGCAGAACCTCACAGGACTCTCCCCTGCTGTCTGCAGAGCACTCCACACCCCACCCTCATCCCCTACTTCTCTCAGCCTTCCCTCCTGACCACGCTGCTCCCAGCCACCCCACCTTCCAGCTTCTCTTTCAGAGGAGATCATCTGGGGGGTCACGAGGCCAAGCCCCACTCCCGCCCTTACATGGCATTTGTCAGCTTTCTGGTTGGCAAGAAGAGAAAGAGATGTGATGGTGTCCTGGTGCAAGAGGAGTTTGTGCTGACAGCTGCTCACTGCAAGGGAAGGTGAGGAGCAGCACCAGCCACACTTCCTGAGACCCCAAAAGGGACCTCTGTCCTCCACAGAGGCTACAGCCTGTAGGAGCTCATGGGGTGCTGGTACACAGGCCCGTGAGAGCTCATCAGGAAGCAGGAAAGGCAGGAGGATCCAAAGTTTCACCCTATATGTCATCTGTATGTATATTACTTAAATTCATAAGGTCTTATAAATAGATTAATCTGATGCTAGAAAAATAAAAATGAGGAGGAGGGAGGGGGAAGTAGAAGGAAATTGAAATGTGTTATGTACATGGAACAACCTCTTAGAGTGAGTGGAATGAATCATGATATACTGCAAACATGTAGTGATAAAAGTGAAAAAAAGTTTCAGCCCAGCCTGAGAAAGTTAGCTCCTTAGTGAGACCATATGGAAAAAATAAAAATAAATTTAAAAGGGCTGGGGGAGTAGCTCAGTGCAAAGCCCCTGGGTTCAACCTCCATTACCTTCAGGAAGGAAGAAAGACTTGGAAAATAAGAGGCTGAGAAATAGGATAGGTAAGATTTTCAGTCAGAGGGCGAGTGTCACAGCTGAGAAGACTTAGGGACCATACTGTCAAGTAAAGCAACTGCAGTCTGCTCTTCATAGCTTGGGGGGAGGGGTCTTCTATGGGTCCACATCCCAAACCCACTCTCCTATCTGTGCAGCTCAGTGAAAGTCACCCTGGGGGCCCACAACATCAAGAAACCAGAGAAGACCCAGCAGGTCACCTTTGTGACAAAAGCCATCGCACACCCAGACTATGACTGTAACACCTTATTCAACGACATCATGCTGCTGCAGGTAAGGTGCACCTCCCTGCTGCTCTTGCTCTCCTTGTCCAGGGTTGCCCCTTCCACTGGGACCTTGCTCTTTTCCTCCTTGCCATTATGGCCATCATGATACCCTGTCCCAGAAGGCATAGGGCCTATGCCCTAGGCTGATCTGGTCTCTCTTGTTTATTCCCTATTAGCTGAAGAGAGAGGCCAAGCTGACTAAAGCTGTGCAGCCCCTCAGACTGCATGAGAACATGGCCCAGGTGAACCCAGGTGACAAATGCCTTGTGGCAGGCTGGGGGAAGATGTCCCCATTGGGCACTTTAGCAAGTAAACTGCAGGAGGTAGAGTTGACAGTGCAGGATGAACTGAAATGCAAATCAGTCTTCCGTGCTTTTTCCTATATCACTGAGATTTGTATGGGTGACCCAAGGAAAACAAAATGCAGTTTCAAGGTAAGGTTTCAACTGTCTATGAAGACAGAACGCAGGGAAAGAGGTACTGGGGCAACCTGGGGTATGATAGTGGCCATATCCCCATCCCCTGAGTCCAGAGCTTGGGTAGCCTGGGTTCCCCAGCAATCCAGTCTTTAATCCTCTCTCTGGGTGGATCAGGAGTAGAAGGTGGGGAAGAATCTGCTAATCCAATGCCCAGGGCAGTGTTATCACCAGAGTAACTCTGAGGACTGCAGACAAAGGTTCAGCCTGGTTAGAACAAGAAAGGAAAGTCAGGGTCAGGCTAGAGCCCCTGGTCTGAAGGAGGCAGCCGGCCCGCCCTGCCCCTGATCTCATGCTCACAGCTCCCTGACAGGTCACCCACCCTGAGGAGTGGGAGGAGCAGGACCAGGAAGCCAGCTCCGTGCTTTCCCTCTCTGCCCACAGGGGGACTCTGGGGCTCCCCTCGTGTGTAACAACATGGTGCAAGGCATTTTCTCTGGTGGAAAGGAACATGGAAGACCCCCAGGAGTCTTCACAAAAGTCTCCCACTTCCTGCCCTGGGTAAAGAGTACCACGAAGCACTTCTAATAGCAGCCAGAAGATTGGCCTCCTCTGGGCTGACCATCTTTTCTGAGGCAGAAGAAGGAATCCTGTGAGCATGGGCTGTAAGGATCGCATGGTGATAGTAAATGGACCTCAAGAGTGAATGTGGCTGAAGTCCTATTTATTCATTGAACCCCTTTCGGTGTGCAGCTGCACTGCTCAAGGCAGCCCTCTGCTGGCCATTCTGGGTTTTGTTTCCTCTTTTCTCCCCCAGCCCTCCAGCTTCCCTTAACTCCATTCTGTACAATTCCTCATTGATTTCTCAAGTACACTTTATTTTTCAATGCTCAGCTATCCAGTGTTGGCTTGCTCACTCCACAATGGAGAGTCTGCAGCATTTCTGAGATGTCATCATACACACAGTCCCACGTCCTTGATACTGAGTTCTCCAAATACAAATTTCTGGGTTTAGGAATTTCTTCCTATTTCTAAGCCAACCACTTTCATCAGACACGCCCCCCCCCAACAATCTGCAGAGAATGGAGCAGGGCAGTGGAAAGGGGATAACTCCAGGGACCTAAGAGGCCAGGGGCACTCAGTTTCCTGTTTCCAGGGTCTCTCTCTCCAGTGGGGCACGTTTCTCCCCCTTTCAGTGCTGACTGCTGCTTAGGAGGGTGAGATGGCCCTGAGGCTCACCCATGTCCCATTTTCTTGCCCTGCCCTGGGCCAGCACGAACCCCAGTCCACCTCCTCCCTCAATGCCTGGACTTTCCACACCAGCCCCTGACTCCACCAGAGTGCCCTGGCCACCAGCTCGTTTCTCTTTCGGCTTCTCTGATTTAAACCAGCTTCCTCTTACCTCCCTACAGAATTCCCAACTATGTGTGCAGTCACCTCTATCACTTGCTCCAGCCAGACTTGGAACTCTCTCCCCTTCTACGTGGGCAGGGCTGGCTGAAGCACTGCTCCACCCCAGCATCCCTCAGGAGCTCAGGCATCAACTCCTACAGAGTCACTCTGTAGCCTGGGCACTTTCAGCCCGGCCTGGCCTAGGAGTCCAGGCTCCCCCTGCTGGCGGCCTTGGGTTTTGGCAACCTGTGAGCCGGAGAGTTCAGGGAAGCTGGGCACCCTTTTGGCCTCTTTGTAGCAGACCCCTAATAGGCTCTGGCCTCACCTTTGCAAAACTCTCAGTAACAAGAAATTTCTTTTAACTATTCCCGGTTTCTCTCCTTCCACCAAGGCAGGTCAGTGTAACCCAGATATTTGGAATCCACTAGAAATCTTATTTTGAAAAAAATTAAATTCTTTGTATTCTGTCTTGGTTGTGCATAACGGTGCCACATGCATTATATTTTTAGGTCCAGAAAATCCGCGTGTGGTCCTGGAAGAGACATGGAAATTATCATGTCCTGAGATAGCTAGTGTGTGCTCCCTGGAGTCTGGCTCCAGAGGTCTTGGATGGAACAAGAGGCAACTCAGGGAGGCTGAACCTCAATCCGCAAACCTCCAAACTGCTACAGTTCATACTGAGACAGTTGTGACCTAATTCACCTTATTTAGGATCCCACATCCCTCAAACAGCGCTAATGGTAAGTTATATGGGACACAACACGGTAAACTCACAATAGCCACCCTGAATCAAGTGAGATCAGCATCAAAAAGACTTCCTGAATAGGACTCTACTATCTCAGGGAATAATAGCAAGAATTGACAGATAAGATTGCATCCATTTAAAAAGCTTATGCACAACAAAGGAAACAACAGAGTGAAGAGTAACAACCCACAGAATGGGAGAAAATTTTGGTCAGCTACTCTTCTGACAGAGGATTAATATTCAAATATACAAAGACTCAAAAAACTTAATACCAAAAAAGGAAAACAACCCAATTGGTAAGGGGGTAAGCGAACTGAACAGATACTTCTCCAAAAAAGTACAAATGATCAATAAGTACATAAAAAATGTTCAACATCTTTTAGCCATCAGAGAACTAAAACTCAAAATTACATTAAGATTCCATCTAACCCCAGTCATAATTGTTATCATCAAGAATACCAAAACAATAAATGCTAGTAAGAAAGAGGGAGAAAGGGACCTTTATACACTATTGGTAAGAATGTAAATTAGTACTACCACTATGAAAATGTATATAGTAGTTCCTCAAAAACTAAAAACTATACTATACTATACTATACTATAAAGATACTATAGATCCAGCATACTCTAGACATACCTGCATGCCTATGTTTATTGCAGTGCAACTCACAATAGCTAAGCCATAGAAATAGCCTTGGTACCAATCAGCTGATGAAAGGGTAAGTAAAATGTGGTACATATACACAGCAGAGTATTAGTCAGTGATAATACATGGAGAAATCATTCAATGGAACTGGAGATCATCATGTTAAGCAAAATAAGTCAGAATATCAGAATGACAAATATAGCATGTCTTCTTTCATATGTGGAATCTAAACAAAATGACATGAACCCAGAAGAGATACTATTAAAGAAGATGAAGGGAAAGGGGAAGGGGAATTAGTGGAGGGGAAATGATCAAAGTGTTCTATAGCCATATATTCATTTTCAGTATAATGCATAAAATAATAAAAAAAGAAAAAAATTACATGAATCTCTTAACAGTAGTCAGTTGCATGGTGGAATTAAGATTGACGTGTTTCTTCTTTGATTTTTTTTTTTTTTTTTAGGTACTGGGGATCAAACTCGGGTCCTTGCACTTGCACAGCAGGCAGCAAAACCACTGAGCTAAATCCCCAGTCCCCCTTCTTTGATTTTTAATTTATTCTATAATCTTAATTTTACAATTATTAAAATTATTTTTAATATCTTGTCAAAAAATACCTTAAGTAAATTGATACATTAAAATAACTCTGCTTACTGTCATAGATAAATTTTTACAGATAATCTTTAACCCAGTAGTTTATTTGTTGCTCACCCATAGTCTAAAATGAGAGTTTCTGATGAGTAGTTGTTCCCTTTTACTCTCAATTATCCTGTTTTGAACAATTAATTACACAATCACCCATGACTAAGGGACCCAGGCTCAGTCCCCCAAAAAATGGCTTCCCAGTTTCTCAAATGTATCTGCTACAAAGCTTGTTGTGGGAAAGGGGGATGGGTGATCAGGCATGGGAGAATGTCACAGCTCAGGTCTGGATGGTGCCGACATCATTGCTACTCACATCCCCCTTGCTGTAACAGTCACACATCACACCTAACCTCAGATGAGGCTGGGGAGTGCAGACATGTTCACCCATGTCCCTTGGAAGGAAAGGAAATTGTTTTGCTGAACTGCTAGCTTTTCTCTATCACAATGGTCCATAGTATTTGCTGTTTTTAAATATTGTGGGCCCTACATTTTTATTCTTATAAAATGAACACATTTTCATATAGAAAATATTAGATAATAAAAAAGTAAAACTAAGACTCACATAAAATTGTTTTTTAGATGGTGCCCCTTTTCCTCTACAAAATTACTAACAAGTTGTATATATAGTTTTACAGTGTATGTTTTCCACTTAACATTAGAGGATACATATTTCTCCATGCCACTAAGTAGTCTTCTAAAACCCTTTTAGTGGCCAGAGAGCACATCATCCTACGAATGTGTCATCTCATCATCTATATTTCTCTTCTCCTATTGTTGAATGTTTGGATGGTCTGAGCTTTTTGGCAAGGGAATCTCAGGGTATATGTCCACCTCATCCTCTTTCTCATGTTGGTCTAGGGTCCCAGGATCAGTTGCACAGTCTTACCAGCAAGCATTTTTGCCAGGAAACACTGGGGACCTTAAATCTTTTTTCAAATCAGTCTGTGCCACAACCAGAGTTTCCGGGGTACCCCTTTCCCTCTAATTACCCCGATTGGAGGTTTTATGCAAACCCCAGGAAATCTGCTATTGCAAATCATGTACTTCATGACCCCCGAGGGGTTCAGTCTTTCCTTTACAAACTGCTCTTTCCTACAAGGATGACAACACAGGCCAGGTCTCCGTTAGAAAGTATCTGGCTGCCCACAGACTGTGATGGGAAGATAGTGGCTCGGACACGGCCTTCTCCCAGCACTGACACTTAATCAGACAGCCACAAGCTCATCAGTGGAGACTTCCCGGGAGCTTTCCAATTGTCCAAATGTCCTCCAAGGAGTCACATTAAGGAGCCATGCAGGTGTGGAGTGCCTCTGGAGAACTCTGGTCTCCTACCAAACCTAGAGGAACTAGAGGAGCACTGGGTGGGGGACTCAGCAACAGTGGGCAACTGCCTGCCCAGAGGATTTGCATTGTTGGCAGCTTATGGGGCCCTGGGAGGAGATGGGAAACACCCCACCCTAATGTCCCCACATCCCAAAGGAGAAAATAATTGTAACTGATGGAAACATTAAAAAGGTCAAAAAATAGATGTAACCAGCTATGGATATTGTGAAACATATCAGTCTTACTAGTTCAAATATCACAATTTTTTATTACAATAGAAAATGAAAACATTTAAAAAGTGCTCTCATACATTCCCTTCTCCAAAATGTTCTCTCTGACCTCTATGCTGTGACAAACAGGCTTGTTGAAAAATGTATTGCAAAATATACACACATGAAAGGTCCACATAACATAAATTTACAGTTTAATGAATAATTTTGAGTTAAGTACTATATTTTATGTCAAGAAATGGAGCACACTCAATACTCCAGATACCCTCTGTGAATATCCTACTGGTCAAAATACCCTCTTTGCCCTCCAATTCCAGGCTTCACTATATTCTGACTTGTGGTAACCACTTTCTTACTTTATCTTATACTTTTCTCATGTACATATGCATTTCTGTCCAATAGTTCATGCAGTTAAAATCATACTTAAGGTAGTCTTCTTGAATTCTTTCTACATATATTTGTGAGATTAATTTGTTATCTCCATGAAGCAAGTAATTTATTTTCATAGCTGTGCATACTCCGTTCTGTTAATATACTACAATTTGACCATTCATGCTGTTGTCAATAGGCCTTCCAAATGTTCCCAGGATGAGGCTATCATGAATAATGTTGCTATGACATTTTTGGACACACGTCTAATGGAAATGTGCGAGTTTCTCCAGGGTAT